GAAAAATCTGAAGGGCCCCCCCCCCCCGGGAGGAAATTTCTGAAATAATCCCTGGTTATGATGGTGTACCATTTATGTATATAGCATCCAAAAAAACAAAAAAACAAATTATCTCCCCACTAATAGTGGGCATATTAGTAGGCTACTCAAAGGATGCCACAGCTGCTGACAACAGCAAACGTACGACATTACTTATTTACTAGAGGCTACCTTCAACTAGAAATTAATAAGAATTATTTTCACTCTGTCACTACAATTACAAAGGTATTATTTTCTATAGCTACGCCAATGCGCCTGAATTGGGATTAATCAAATGTGTAGGCTACAAATCCTCTTATAAGTTATCATAGGCTACCTGTCAAATACATGTCCGCTGAACTAGACTAATTTAGATACTAACAGCATCCACTGCTGGAAGACAGTGGCAGTTAGATTTAGACCCAATTTACATTAGGCTCGGGACTTATTTTGTTAAATGTGTTTAAATTAATTCTTACTACACCAGCAGTTTGTGACAAACTTGAGGTTAAAACCCCTCCGTCACAAAAAAACACACAACATACAGAAAGCACATACAAAATAAGCCATCTGAAGGGGACCGAAAATACCATCCACAACCAAAAGCTCACAAAGGGGTGAGAACATACTCCCCCTCCCCCATTTCATGCACATAAATTAAATAGATTGATATATGTCGGATTTGTTAATTGTTAATAATATGGTTCCTTGTCCTTTGACTTTGAACTTTTAGGAAAAGCTATTGAAAAAACACTAAAAAATTGAGAATCTCAGGATCAATTTGATTAAAAAATATGCTTGGTGGGCTATAACAATTTAAAAGAAAAAAAATGTAGCACCCCCCCCCCCCCTTCCCCTCTTCCAACTACCACAATCCACTTTTCTCATTATTTTCTGTCTGTTATTCTGAAAGCATGAAAAAATGCAGAAGATGAGTGCGATTTATTTTAATGATGTAACTTTAATTTATTTAAACTTTCTGATTGAAATCCATTTTTTTGGACCTAGACATACTAGTGTTAGTGCAAAAAAGCATGGATTTAACAAACAATGTAATACCCAAAGAAGAATTGGATCAGACAACTTATTTCTGTAAATTTGAGGGTTGCTCCAAGTCATTTAAGCGCAAGGATAGACTTGAAATACATGTCAGATCGCACACTGGAGAGGTAACCAAACAAAAACGAGACCGGTATTTATTTAGTAAATTTCAGGAGTCAGGAGGAATGCTATTATCACTATTTTATCGAATTTCACGAATGTATCCCTAAATCGATCCCTATGCCTAACCTGAACCCTAAATCAATCCCTATGCCGCATGCCTAACCTGAACCCTAAATCGATCCCTATGCCCAACCTGAACCCTAAATCGATCCCTCAACCTAACCTAAACCCTAATTCACTGCAACTATAATAAACACCCAAAAGACACAGTGGCATTCGTCCTCAGATTTAGCCGTAAATTTTAGTATTTATTTTGCTTTGAAACGTCTGTTATCAGTTGTGAAAAAAATCATCAGATGAGTTGGTTACGTCATATAAAGCCACTGAGAGCTCAGGAAAAAAGAGTAGTAAGTTAACACTATCCCCGCCACTTTATTTCCTACGACCGCAATTGTAATTGCAAATGGCGGGTCATGGCTATCACGATGGCGGCCAAGGTAGTGCAAAATATGGTGAGGGAAAAGAAAAGAATATGTTTTTTAGCCAATTACAGAGTGAAATGACTTAAAATAGAAACAAAAAGGTTAATATTTAGATGTAATGAAACAGTTTCAGCAGGTACTTTAATTTCGTGGCGCATTAGGCATCTTTATTGTATCCTTATAGATATGCGGCAAGGAGTCACTCAAGGAGTGTCAATGAATTGCTGTAACCTCTTTTCCTAGCGTAATTTCGGCCGGTACATTAATTTCGTGGTTAACTTAGCAACTTTGTGTCCCACTAGATATGCGGCAAGAAGTGTCAACGACTTGCACGCTCCCTTTCCTGGTATAAATTTGGCTGTTACATGCTCCCTTCCCTCAACCAAAACCTGTGCTACAGTTACATACTGTTGTGGTAAGAAAAGTGTAAAAATTATAATAATTATAAAAAAACAATACAAAATAATTTAAAAATAATGAAAACCCAACTGACAGTTTCATACTATGATAATAATATAATAGAATACACTTAAAAAACTTAATTCCAAAATACCGGAAAATTTAGATAAAAATAACCACCCAATAAAATTATAATTTAAAATAATCTATTGTTATATTAAAGAAAAGTTTATACTAGTAATAATCCAAAAATAAACAGAAGGGAGAGAATCTTTAAATTACACACAAACTCTTATTGGTACGGATTGCTTAAATTGAACTAAGGGGTAAGATGTGGTGTCCACCGAGTCATGTAAAAACTGAAGAGGTCTCAAAAAAGAAAAAAAACCAATTCATAAGGAAGTTGGAAAGGGGGGGGGGGGGGATTATGATTGTATGTTAAGGCTAACAGTCTTGGACGTGCCTTATTTGGTTGGTATATATTTGATGAAATCCCATAAAATGTGCAATATTTTAAATTGGTTAAAATACAACGTCAAACTGAAACAACAGCAGTTTATCATATCCGACGCTCAAATGGTAGATTACCTACATCTAATACCTAGAACGCGTTTTCAGTAGGCCATTAGCCAGTTAATCAGTCACAGAAAGATGATTAAATATTAATATGCAACAAGACCAGTTAGGCTGATTACCGATTATCTGCTGATTAATCTTTAGTTATTTCATTCTGTGCTCTGCAATTATTGACATTTATCTATATATTTTTTAGATTAAAACTTTAATTAATTTTAGGTAGCCTAAGTCAGCGAGCAGTTTTTTGTGTGGTTAAATATTTCTCTTTGAATCCTAGCGCCCGTTTGTATGTGATTTTGGTGACTGTAAGAATGCGTATTCAAGGTTTCAGCATCTTTCTAGGCATACGGACAGGGTACATAAAAAGGGATGCAAAGATCGCCTTAAAGTAAGGTAATGTTATTCATGAACAAATATCACTAGCAACAAAAAATGGTTTATGCATGTGAAATATTATCTACAAGTTACTTTGAAATATGCAGGCACAGTCATATTTTGAAAGATAAAATGAAAAACTTATTTGCACTTGGTCTTTGTGTACCTCTATTTCCATTAGCTGGCATCCGTCTGTCACAATGTGACGATGGAGTGGGCTTCGTAGGACGAAATCCACATAGCCTGGGATTATTATACTTGAAGGATTATAAGCTGGTTCCCAACAGCAAATCGCCTCTCTCCACGCCGCTGGGTAACCCAAGGGAACATCATTGGATGATACAGCTTGGCACCAGTGACGTCGCAGGAGTTGTCGGAATGTTTCATTGTATCAATGTTATCCGCCTTTCGGGACTCCATCTCCGGGTTTGATTTCAGAGTTTCCTTCTCTTAGATGAGTTGCCGTCCAAGGTTAACGAGTCCCATCTACCCGGGGTGCTGGTGGTGTTTTTGCTCTAGCTGGAATTGAACTCCAGACCACCAACTTGAGATTTGCTCAGTTTAGACCACTCGGCCACCCAGCACCCATTTCCATTAACTGTGACTGTTAAGAAAATGTAAAAATTTGTAATGGCTATAACTTAACTTAATTCAATATGTAGATTTTATTTTTTAAAAATTTTTTGTGATAAAGACTTAAAAACATAACTCATTTTTTATTTTTATTTTTAGGTGTCCTGTATGTCAACTAGAACTTGCAAATAGTTCATGTCTTAAAAAACACGAGGCAAGCTTTCATGGCAAGCAACCCAGCATTATCATGGACACATACAAAGTAAAGAATTTGTTTTCAATTTAAAATCAAGATTGTTGCTATTTAAATTTAAGGTTTCAGTCAGTTATGTTCTGGAGTTCTGGAGTTCCGAGTTAAATTCAGGTGTGGAGAAAGAGAAAAATACACAGTATTGTTTATGTTTGATCACCACGTGGTATACATTTTTTATTGGGTTTGTTATACTACAAGACACTTTATATGGAGATGATCTTCCCTGAATGATATATAATTATATCAAATTTTATAAGGAGCCCCAAGTTATAAAATGTAGAAAATGGATCTTGTATCCATTGAAATACCTTTTAAATAATGCATCTCGTATCCATTGAAATACCTTTAAAATAATGACAGCAAGGCTCAGGTTGGAATACCTGAATTCCCTTGTGATTATTTGCTACTGAGTTTATTGATTGATATCACCTTTGAGCTGTTAGGACTGGCTTTGAGGTACTCTCTATATCACCTTTGAGCTGTTAGGACTGGCTTTGAGGTACTCTCTATATCACCTTTGAGCTGTTAGGACTGGCTTTGAGGTACTCTCTATATCACCTTTGAGCTGTTAGGACTGGCTTTGAGGTACTCTCTATATCACCTTTGAGCTGTTAGGACTGGCTTTGAGGTACTCTCTATATCACCTTTGAGCTGTTAGGACTGGCTTTGAGGTACTCTCTATTATCACCTTTGAGCTGTTAGGACTGGCTTTGAGGTACTCTTTTGCTAATAGATGGCCATGATTTCTTTGAGCTGTTAGGACTGGCTTAGAGGTACTCTCTTGCTAACAGATGGCCATGATTTGCTCTTAGTTGTTCGCATGAATATTTAAATCACTAGTTACATTTTTTATAAAAATATATGTTTAAAATTTTGCACGAATTGTCCTACAGTGTCCTCATGAGGGATGCTGTTATGCTTTCCACAAGAAAAAGCAACTGATGGCCCATAGACTTGAACACACTCCACATGTTGCCCTTGCAAAAAAATGTCATAGGTTAGTATGTCATTTCCAAAATTGTCCTGTTGAAAGATGAACATATTTCCAGTGACAAAGACAGCCAATTGCAGTAGTATAGGAAGCAGTGACTGAGACAGCCAATTGCAGTAGTATAGGAAGGCCCTTCTCTTATTGCTTGGAGAATCCTCAGCAAACAATTATCTAGTGAATTTACTGTATATTATATACTAATTCTAAAATTGTGTAAGTAAAAGACAAAAATTTGAGCAAACATACAGTATGATTTATAAGACAAGTACTCGCTTTTCGTGTCTAACCATACTGAACATTTCCACTGCTGCTTGGAGAGAAAAATGCGGTTGCTTTGTCTTTCCATGTGTGCAATTCTTTTTCTGCCCTCTCTAACACTACTTCTCAGCTAAGTGCTATATTTTTTTATATATATATATCTAATTTTATTCTGTTTTGTCTGTTATTTGTTCGCTGATGAAGGCTTCTTGCTGACAAATTCGTTGTTTTAGTTGTGTTCCTTTTTTCAGGTTTAACCTTACTTTGTTTCACTCACTTCCTATTTTGCTAACCTGATTGCAGTCTCTCCCCTTATTACCCTATCAATTACAGCTGTCTTATTTTGATACTGACTGAATAACATGATGATATCCATTACAAACAAATGTCTTTCAGCTGCCCATATGAAGGATGTAATAAAACATTTACATTCCCCAATAAATTGCGACAACATTTGAAAGTACATCAAGGTAGGGACTTGTCATTGACTTTATTATTTTTAATTTGGTTGTAAGAATGTTTCTAGATCAGTGGTTCCCAAACCTTTTGACTTTGGAGCCCACTGTCAGACATTTCAGTCTTTAGGCCCACCCTCTGTCTTACAAATAATGTTTACGAGTAGTAGTGTTTTATATTTTCTGCAGTGGCAGCACAGTTTGGGAATCACTGGTCTAGATGACATTTATTTTGTTGTAAAGGTATGATTAAAATAAATGTAATTTATTTTTTTATTATCTCTTATATATATTTTGCTTCTGGTGCGTCCTGCTTACTGCCGCACTCCACATGTTTTATCTAAATAGTAAAGAGTGACAAACAAGGCTGTCACACAGGGAGCTACAATCTCTGGTAAATTGGTTGATTTTCTTTGTCTTTAGTGGGAGGTCACTATTTCAAATATTATACCAGGGAAACAATTAATTAGAATTACCCCCTCAAAAAGACTGACCCAAGGGCAATAATCTCACATGGTGCCCACAGTCCATGCAAAAACTAGGAAGGTTTTTAAAAAAAAGGGGGGGGGGGTTGTTTGGGGTTGCGACGATACAACCAATTAACAGTTTTCAGAATCCAGTTTTAAACCGGTTATTGGTTATTAAGATTCATTCCAACCTGCTCCGCACAGGAAGGTCAGGTTTACATTATATTTGTTAAGTTCGAAAGCGCCAGTTGAATGTTGTGATATTTTACAAGATCTTAATTGGCAGTTGAACTAGCTGTCAGTTAAAAGAGTTTCAGTTTGTCAAACTGACAAAACAACTGTTCTATTTGTATACACACAGTTTAGTAATAGAGGTCTGCGAACACCTTCCCAAATGGGGTAAAAATTAAAGTCATGTGGCTAATGAGCTCTTATTAGACATTTATAAAACAGCGGCATCTCTAGAGTTGATTAACAAAGTGTCATTAAACTCATAGTGTCTATTAATACAGCAATTTAAAAAAAAAAAATTGATTTTAGTTTGTAGGCTGGTGTATGACACCATTGTGGATTGGAGTTCAATCCTCAGCTAAAATAACACACGCACTCTGGGTGCATGGGACTTTTTAACCTTGGATGGCAACCCATCTAAAAGAATTCAAACCCAGAGGGGTTCCATAGGAGGTATGAAATTGACACAATGAAAATTCCGGCAACTTCTATGATGTGGACTGTATAAAGAGCACAGTGGGACACAATACTGCTGGTCATCTACTGCATTGCAACCTATATCCCAGTCCTCTTGACGAAGCCTTGCCATCGGATGGAAATAGTTAAGAATGAGAGAATGAGGGTGACATTTGTGCAACTTGCTCTCACTTTAAAACAAAATACAGCACAGGTCAAGGCTATCACTCAAGTAGAATATAGCCTTAGTCATTTTCAAATAGGAAGCCCAACAATAATATTAATAATAATAATTATCCCACCACAAAGGTAGTAATCTTTAGGCTTCAATTAAAAAAAAAGTCTTTTCTAATAGACCTAGTATACAGTAGTGTAGCTAAGGTTGTTGTTGGGGGAGTTGGGGCAAGCATTTTGCCACCCCTCTTCACGGAAAACTCTGCAAAATTGCAGAAAATTCCGGTCATAAATATAAAGAAAAAAGTGCATCCCTGGGCAGACCACCCCTTGTGCACCCCCCTTCCTACCCCACTGCCGCTAGAACTATTTTAGTTATAAGATAAGCTGCTGTGAAAAAATTTCAGCACCAACCCATTTGATAATAATGGTTATGCACACAAAAAATTTCAATCTACGCCCATCGGACTTGAAGCTTTTATTAGAACTACGCATCTTGGTGTTATAATTTAAAACCTAAATTTGTTTAAATATTTATTGTGAGAGGCCAATCTTTATTGTCAAGTCCAGGTGAGGCCTAATTGTTTAAATGACTGCACAGCTATTTATATGACTTTATAGCAAGTTTAGCTCTTTAAATGAACTAATATTGACAAATCTTCCAGGTTATCCCTGCGACTCCGAGGGCTGCGGCCAAGTTTTCCCTAATTGGTCAACATTGAGGAAACACAAGGCTAAAGATCATGCCCCAAGTAAGACACTCCCATGACAGTTTGATGGTTTTTCCATATAGTTTACATCATATTTTCTTAATGTAGGCGCCATGCAAGGTATTTCCTTGTAATTATTATTTTTATATTCAATTGTTGCTAATTGTTTTAAAAAATTATTACAATTCCTAATGTTAATTATTCTGTAGACCAAAAAAAAAGGGGTTAGCTTACTATACACATAAAACAATAAAATAATTTTACATTTCAGTCGTAAAACTTTTTTAACAAACATTTATTATGCTTAAAGTTAAATGTAATATTTAAATTAGATGTGTTTCAGATTACTATGAATGTCACCATGACCACTGGATGTTATGGTAACAATTTCGATCTCAGCTTCAGTAAGTTTTTTAACCTTCTCAATATATTTGTTTTGTTTTCACTCTCTAGCTCATAGCTGTAAGATATGCAATGCTGTCTTCAAACAAAAGTCAAACCTAACACAGCATATTAAAATACACGCCACATCTCGAGAACCTCTCACGTGCCCTAAGGAAAAATGTGGCAGGATATTTTTCTACAAGAAAAATGTTGACCAACATGTCAAAGAATTTCATGAAGGAGGAGGAGTTAAAAGAAAAAAGAGGAAAAGAAATACACCGGATGTTCACATGGTAATAATACATTTTAAAGTAATTTTCTTAGTGTTTTAGGTTTCAATACTTCATTGGAAACCCAGAGGTCAACAGTTTCTTTTATAACTGCTAAGTATGTAGTCTCTCACTTTTTCATTGAATTGCCATGGGCCAAAACATTCTAGTCCAAAATTGTGCACTCTTATATACTGAACTGTACATCATATTTTTAACTTGCGACGTAAGACGTTCTAATAGGAATTTCTAAACTTGAAAATCTCTTTATTTTAAAACTTTAATATTCCATTTTAAAAATGTATCCTCAATAAAAATAATTGCAGCCTAAGGTGGTCTAGGACACACTATTCAGTGGTATTGGAAACACTGTTCAGTAGTCTTGGACACACTATTCAGTGGTCTTGCACACACTATTCAATGGTCTTCGACACACTATTCAGTCTAGAACACACTATTCAGTGGTCTTGGACACACTATTCAGTATAGAACACACTATTCAGTCTTAGAACACACTATTCAGTGGTCTTGGACACACTATTCAATGGTCTTGGACACACTTTTCTGTGGTATTGGACACACTATTCAGTGGTCTTGGACACACTATTCAATGGTCTTTGACACACAATTCAGTGGTCTTGGACACACTATTCAATGGTCTTTGACACACTATTCAATGGTCTTTGACACACTATTCAGTGGTCTTGGACACACTATTTGATGGTCTTGGACACACTATTCAATGGTCTTTGACACACTATTCAGTGGTCTTGGACACACTATTTGATGGTCTTGGACACACTATTCAGTCTAGAACACACTATTCAGTGGTCTTGGACACACTAAGCATATCACACCTGAAGCTATAACAAACAAGATCACACTATTCAATTAATGATATTGATTTATGGAACAATAAAAATATTTCAGAAAAAAAAAGTTTCCAAGAATAGGTTGATGGCAGCTCGTTTATGTGGCATAGATGATCGGGAAGATGTAAGTTTATAAAAAATATAATTATTTAGTTAATTAGTTAAATTTAGAGTCCTCCATTGTTTACAAAAAGATTCAAAGAATTGGTGGTTAGCATTATATTACCCAGTTTCCCACTTTATTGTAGCCACAAGTATGAATTCATCTGAAGTCTCTAACATTTCATCTCTAGCATAAAAAGAATTGTTTCAACCAACTAAAGCTTAAACAAAAATTAAGTGGTTAATCTGGGTGATTCTGACAGCAGTGAAACTAAATAAATATTATACATAAATTCTGTATTAACATATATTATTTCAAGTACAATGGATTCTTTTTGCAACACAGAATCAGATAGTATTAATAACACATTATTATTAGAGCAAAGCTGCAGTGTCTTTATTGTTATTTTGTCTGTGCAGTTATTTTATCCTTTTAAAATTCACAGCTGAACTTTGATATCAAGTTGAACACGTCTGAACCAACACAAAATTTTCAGGAAAATTTTGATTCAAGTACTGACCAACCACAACATGTTGAGGAAGATTCTGCTTTAACTACTGACCCAACACAACATGTTCAGGAAGAGTCTGCTTTAAGTACTGTTGCTACCAAAATTGACGTTCTGCCCTTGTCATTGTCACAAGCAACTGATATTTCAATGTCTGAATCAAATATGACGATCAGTTCAGGATTGTGTAACCATTGTGGTCAAGAAACTGAAGAGTGCAGACGCTCATGTCATTTAACACAGTGTGTTAAAGCAGACCCAAGAGTCCCAACACAGTGTGTTAAAGCAGACCCAAGAGTCCCAACAGTGTGTTAAAGCAGACCCAAGAGTCCCAACACAGTGTGTTAAAGCAGACCCAAGAGTCCCAACACAGTGTGTTAAAGCAGACCCAAGAGTCCCAACACAGTGTGTTAAAGCAGACCCAAGAGTCCCCATCACCTCAGAACAGTAAGACTTTAGTTGGCGGTGACAAAGCCATCGTTTCCACATTAGCATCAATGGTTTAATGAAGTGTGGTACCTTCTATAGGAATCATTTTCATCATTTGTTGACCAGATCATATAGTTATTTTGATGACTTTAAGTATTAACTGTTGCAATAATAATACTATGCATTTATAATAAGTCAACCAAAGACACTAAGATGAGTTATCAATTGAATATGGCATTTTTGAACCTTTTCTGTTTTCACTTTTTTCTTTTAAATTTCTAAATAATTTATGAGAGAATAAATTGAATAATGAGTTTGGACAAGAAATAAACATGAGATTTTAGAAACAAGAATTTTATTGAAAATAATCAGTTACTACACAACAACTTTACATCATGCTGAATCATGAAAATATTTATTTTTGATCATATCTATCATTAATAACAGCCAAATTGAAATAGAACAGTACACTTCTTCATATAACCAATCTTAGTTGATTGATATGTTTCTGTGCAGGTATTGATCAATCAGTAGTTCCCATAAATATATATTCATATTTAAACCAAAAATAAGTTTGATGTTAACTCTGATTAATTGGAAACAAACGGAGTCATTTTATGGGGTAAATGTGTGAGGCTAAAAAAAATTTGTTGAATGGCAAAGTAGTGTCCGACACAATTTGTTTCAAAATACATCATAATTTCATGTACACATTTTTATAGGAGTGTTGTAGAGGGAACCTGGGGAATATTCAACAATTTATTCTATTTTAATGCAAGCGCTAGCCAAAAGTAATTAGGTATTTTAATTTTTAAAAAGTGGGGAGGTGGGCGTGGTGACAATTGTTGGAGAACTTGATAACTTCTGTTATGAAGAATGTAGATAAGTTTTAAAAAATAACATTTACTTACCTACAAGAAAGGAGTTTCATACTTATTTGAAAAACATGACCAACATGGGTTATGTTATTTCACATGTTAAATTTTAAATGGAAATGATTTAAATATTTTATTTATACCCCTGGGTGTTGGAGAGCTGCACAATTATTTGACGTGTCAAGGCTGTTAAAAATAAAATTAAAAAAGGCAAATTATTGGAAATGTTTATAATCACAAATCGTAAAATATAGATTTATTTTAGTTTTAAATGATGAAATTGAAACAACACTTAAGACAATGTGATTAATTAATTAATAGTATCCGCCCATTATTTCTCAAACTTAATAATACCAAAGTGCTTAAACTTATATGAATAAATAGACAACTTCATCACATTTCTCATAATGTATAGTTATAAACTGACAGGAATATATTTTAAATGTTTTACTTTTACAGACAAAACTTGTATGATTTGGCTGTTTTTTTGTATCTTATTCTTATATCGCAATGTATAGTGCCGTTATATTATTTGATAAGGTTAATCAATAGTATTACTCTGTAGTACATAAATAGTGGAACAAGATATGTTTAGGCTTGAAAAATAAGACGGAACAATTAAAAGGAGGTTTCAGCTAAATACCTTCTTCAGCAGACATTACAAAGCAAGAAATAATTTGTATAATCTGCTGAAGAAGGCATTAAGGAGCTGAAACCTCCTTTCATTGTTCTGCCATAATTTAGTTAACATATTTTTAATAATTGTAAAGCGCTTAGAGCTGTAAGGTAAGCGCTATTAAAAAAATGCCTAAATAAATAAATAAATTTCAAGCATAAAGATATCTTTTTTCACTTATTATTTACCCCACCCCCCTTGAACACAAGTCCTCCCCCCCCCCCCCAACATAATTTTAAAATTAAATGAGTGGCATGGTGGGTTACATCTTTTACATTTATGGTTTATTTTACCAGCTAGCAAACGACACAAGTAACAATCTTTGCGACTAGTACTAGTTATGCTAATATTAAAAACTATGCCAGGGTTTGTAAAAGCAATATTTTCTTTCATTACGGTACACATCAAGATATAAATTTTCCATGGAAAAAAAAATAATTCCATCCAATTGTTAATTAGGTCATAGCGGATTATTATGAGGATTCCTTAGAGGCCCAACTGAAGCAATGGATTCCGCTTTGGTGGCATAATGGCAGAATATGAACATGTAAAAACAAGGGCCTCCCATCATGAAAATCAATGAGAATGGGTTGATATCAATATGATCCAGAGATGAGATTGGGGTCAAGAAAAGGATTTATGAAATTTACAAACTACAAACATTATTATAGGAAATTAAAATTTTATTTTAACAGAATCAACATTATTGTCATTTCAAAATGTGACAAATTAGTCAAAGTGACAAATAGTGAACGACATCATTACTGTACAAAATATATACAAAATGTGATTTATAATGTGTAGCAAAAATGACAAAAACTAACATATATTTATGATCATTGTTTCTAATTGGTGCAACACTCAAAGTGTCTTATTTTGAGCTAAGCTTACTGGAGAGTAAGATGAAAAACATAAAGAAGATCAACTGTATTGCCAAGAAATTAGTATTTATGTGTTATGTAACAAACTTTATGAGTGACCAATTTTGGAAATGAAAAAAAATTTTTTAAAGAAAAGTCTTTAAATTAAATTAAGTAAAAGAAAAGTGACTTAAGATGTTGATCAACTTGAAAGGGGGAAGGAGTCCTTGAAAGGGGGGAGGAGTCCTTGAAAGGGGGAAGGAGTAGCATAATTAGAAAATATTTGCATATGATGTTTATTATATGTTTTATCACAAACGGACTTAATAATTAATAGAGACAAAATAATTTTACATTTTTTCTTGAACAAACCAGACATTGTCAATTTCAGTTTTTGTTGCCTCAAACCATAAAGAGAATTCATTTCATTAGTGAAAGATTTCTAACAAGGAAATGTATATGTGGCCAATATTTGCCATGACGTTTCCATTTTCTTGTAGTGTAGCAATAAGTATCCAGTGGTTCTATTGATAGTGTTCAAGCATCAAATCATGACTTAAAGATCAGGAATAGAGTGGTCCATGAGCTTCTTGACAATGCTGTTACCCATACTGGAAAGAATATAAAAGAAATTCATATTTATTTCAGTCATGTAAATTTAGAAGATGGCTATGAATTTATCAGACTATGGTACCTACTACATATACTACTACCCAGGTACCATAATGGAAATTGATCATCATACAATTCTTTGTCTGTTGGTCGCAGAACATTTGGTGAAGAATTTGAGTGGTTGAGTCAAACTTTAATCTCTTCACTACTTTAAAAAGATTTTTAAATCATAATACTTTGACTTGTTTTGAAAAGTTGATCATGGGATATGCAAAGGCAAATTTTAAGGTTAAAATGGATACATCTCTGCATGTACTTTTTAACTTTAAAGATAACTTAGTACTGATGTATGTTTTTTGATATGCTAATAAATCTAACAGGGTCAGTTTAAAATTTACTTAGTACTATAATTGAGGAAATAAAGAGGAGCTTTTCTAAGAGTATATCTAGTTTAATTGTTTCAGGAAAGACTTGGAGTGCAAAAAAAAAAAACTATAACCAATTCACTGACTGAGGTTAGTTGGGTCCCTTTGCTATTATCTTAAGTTAAAAACAAATAATTTTAACTTAAGCTTGATTATTCTCGAAATAACATTAAATAATTAAATGAACAGGAATTTTTTAAAAAAAGTTTATATTTGAAACCGCTTGTTTTAATCATGTAGCTGTGAGTGAAATGCTAAAGACTATCATAACTTTTGCATTTACATGCATTTAACAAGACCATCGACATGAAAACACAAAATCTGATCCTTTCACTCTCAGCGAATGTGTAGTAAATCGATGGCATATAACAAAAATTAAAAGTAACGTAATTATTTAGGATAACGCTGGCCAAAGCCCAAGTCACTCACCATTTGACCATGTGATCGTACATGAAGCAAGGCATGATTGTAATGGTGACAGTTCTTCCACAAGATTCGATTATCTGATTGATCTCTTTGTCCTAGGGACAAATAAAAACACATTTTACAAAATGAGACTTCTAAACCTCCAAAATCAGGATTTAGAAAAATTGCTCATTATTATTTTTTTGAAGAAAGTAAAACAAAATTAATGAGGAGGTTGGCTACATTTTATTTAAAAAAAAGGAAATAAGATACATGGGGTAAATAAAAAACAACTAGTTTTTTGGGTCTTATTTCAGGTTTTTCCAACCCTATGTTTAATAAGAAAAATTGTACCACAGATGAGAGAAGATACTCCTCAACCCTATGTTTACTTAGACAAATTGTACCATAGATGAGATAAGATACTCCTCAACCCCATGTTTACTTAGACAAATTGTACCACAGATGAGAGAAGATATTGCTTTTAATAGCCTTTTCTCTAAAGAAAACATCCCTAAAGACTATAATTATAATATTTGACTTAACATTTTTTTTTTTTTAAACAAGATATCATTTAATAAAAGTGTTATCTACAGCGTAACATTATTTTTTACCATTACCTTTAAGCCAACAACATTCTGTCCTCCAACTTCAATTAATTGATGGTCAGTGAGAAGACCATTACGAGCTGCAGATGAATCTTTCACCAAGGATTTAATTCGACCATCCTTGAAGACAAAGCCAATGAAACCATTGCTATCTTTCTGCATGGTGATTGTACGCTCAAATGGTCTATAAGTAAAAATCATTTAAAAAAAAATAAATTCATATTCAATGAGGGAACATTTTTTAAAATGTTGAAACTAAACAGATTTTTGTTTCCTAAAAAAAAAAACGAGGTATTTTTAAAATTTCCAATATATCTTTTTAAATTCTTTAAATTCTTAAGGTGTCTACCTGTCTCTGATCGCCATTTCAATTCTTTGACCATCAGCCTTCTTTAAGAAATTGTGTGCTTTGTCATTGTCCCATCCAGCAACTGTCTGACCATTAATTTGCAAAATCTGGTCACCAAACCTTAGGCCTGCCAGTGATGCTGGAAGCCCAGCTTGAACAAATGCTACAAAAAGGCCCTAATAAAAAAGGAACATGGTTTGGTCAAGTTTATAAATAATACAAAATTGATATTACCGGTATAAGTTAACATCTCTACATAATAGACAGCAAGCCTTTAAATAAATCTACAATAATTGAATCAGATGATCAATCTTACATTGTTGATATGTCTGACACGTAAGCCGAGCCTGCCATCTTGGTCCTTGCATAGAACAACTTCTCGAATACCAGATTTAATTTCAGCTCGCATCAGGCCTAAGTTGTTTCCAGTGATAGGTGCGATTTGTGTTTGTCCAGACTGAGTCTGTCTGATGCCAACTTGCAAGCCCTGGAAAGAGTTAACAATTTAACACTAATTCAAACAGAGTTTTTAAAACCTATGTCACAGGGCATATAAAGAGAGGAAGATATCAGGGAAATAGGAA